GTAGTGAAGGTAAGTGGAACCCACTACTGCCTTTAGCCTGTCAGAATCAAACTCCTGGCACTGAGCAGTGAGTTAGCCTGCAATACTGCATTCTAACCCCTGTGCCACCACAAATCGAAGGCCCCAGAAGAAGAATTGAAAGAGGAAGACAGCCTTTTCCAGGCAGTTGTCCTCCAGATGTCATCATGTTGACCAGGAATAATTGATGTGAGTAAATATTTTAAGTATCTAAAATGGAGAAGCTGCATCAAAGAACCCTAATACCAGGGGCAGCCCTTCAGATGTTTTAGAATACAGCCCCAGTTGTGATGATGATGTTGATCTATGGACCAGAATCATGAGAACAGTAATCAAGATCATCTAGAGGGTATCTTATTACCTGCATTTTGCTTAGCTCCACTAATTAGGTTTTAAAATGTGTTTAATTGAAGAAAGTAAATATATCACTATAAAAATTCTTTCAAACAAAGTGAAACCAGACTCATAAATTGGGAAGAAGAAATTGGGAAGAAGGGAAGAAAATAATCCCTTCCTTGAAAAAAAAAATAGCAATGAATGATGAATGGATTTTTCCTGTATTTTCCTCCTTTTATGCTCTTTATGGATTTGTTTTATAGATTTACATTTTTACATACCGTATCCTGGCACTTTGTATTCAGATTTATTAAAAGATTAGAATTGTTTTAATCTTTATCTTACATAAACAAAGTATCTGCTCCAAGGCAAAGACTCGATAGTCTCTTCTTTTATTCTGCCTCTTGATGCATAAGAATAGAGGCAAGTAGAAGATAACCATCACTGCCCCCTAATCTTAGGCTGGGCATCCTCACTTTTAACTTTTATTTACATTACAGTTAAGATGAGATTGAAATCAGCAAGATCTTCATTTGCAAAATCAAAGGAAGACTAACTCATATTTGAACAATGACGTGGATTTCATTATAGCAGCTGGGAGAGGCAGAAAGGTTTCAATAAAAAGGTCAAGATACTAGTTGGGATTAAAAGGATCACACTTGGTTATATTAAAATTATATTAAAATTAAATTCAGGAGCAAGAAATAAACAAAAATGCATTTCAAGAAATGCATTTCCTAAAGTTAATTTGTATACATTATAAAATGAATTAACTATAATATCATAATTCACACTTAAATTGCTTGCCATTGATTGCCTTCTGTTTGAGTTTTGCTTCTTATTAGCTCAAGGCTGCCTAGTCTATTTCATGAACTAGTATAGTTTACTATTTTGGTATAAATATTAAAACTAAATAAATGTGCATGTACATATAAATATATCTATAAACATCCAAGGATCATCCTAAATCAGTTTAGCAAGCCAGCAATGATTCAGAGTGGCCCTGTTAGGATGTTGAGCTTTAAAGACACTGAGCTTGTCGATCAGAAAGGTCGGCAAGTTCAACGGTTCAAATCCCTGGTACAGGTCTCCTGCGTGAGCAGGGGGTTGGACTAGATGACCTCCAAGGTCCCTTCCAACTCTTGTTACTGACTGTAAAAAGTCCACACAATTAAAAAATATCAGCTTGATAGAAGCTCATCCTGTTCCTTGCAATAGTTATCTTTGTTGAACTTACCTGAGTAGAGATACAGAACATAAGTCTATAGCAGTGATTCTAAACCTTGGCTATTTTAAGAGAGATGGATTTCAACTCCCAGAATTCTCCACTGGAGAATGAGTTGAAGTCCACGTCTCTTAAAGTGGCCCAGGCCTACAGGTTGAAATTTCAGGATGACACACGTAACTCTTTAAATGTGGTTGTCAAGAGTTTCTTCAAAAGTTGTCACCAAACTGTAACTTTAATGAGACAGGCAGAAAAGTCAGAAATCATTACATTTGTAAGAAGCAACCTTATTTACTGAATTTAATTTTCATTGTGTACATTGAAATTAAATTTGGGTTTTGTTTTGATCCATCTCTTTTGATTGGTTCTGCCCATTTTTTTTTAAAGTATCCTTTACAGGTTTGACATTAGGAGGCCACTATTTGGGGGGGGGGAAATCTACATATCCCTAATATAAGAGGTTATACAGTTGGTATCCCCAAGCCATTCAGGAAAAATCAGAAGTTTAATAAGGGGTGAAATAAAAAGTTTGATTTTGTGCTGTTTTTGATTTTGTGCTGTTTGATATGTTTAATTATTTTTCGGCATATTCTTTTGTATAAATGGTGATACCCACATTCCTTATAAAGAGTAAAGTGAATACATTTTGGAAAGATACTTGATATAACATATATGTAATTTGTTGAACACCGCTTCTTTATATGCACAATGATGTTTGAGGCCTCTACATTCTAGAGGTTTTGTTGAAAAGCTGCCTAAAACTCATTTTTAAATCACAGCTGTACTTTCTTTCATCTTGAACTATTCCTGCCATTTCAAAGAATTCTGTTAAAATCTGCCATCAGGAGGGCTGGCTCTTCCTCTTCTCTTACCTCCCTCATAGCAGGGTTACATGTTCTAGTCATTATCCTCATACCTTGCATTCCTTTGGAACAAGATGAATGGTTTCATGAAGTCTTTATTTTCTATTTTTATTTCTAGGTTATTCTGAGGTACTAGACTTTTGTTTAAAAATAATAAATGCGTAACTTAAGATTTAACTATGTTAGGTTATGTTTATCATTTTCTGTATAGTTTACTGAAATGTTCATTCTTAAAAAAAGAATGTTGATCTTGAGCAATGAACAGAAATTGGCAAAGTCTGATAAAACTGTGTTTGAAAAATTATAATCCTAGAACATGTAGTTTGTACATTTCAAAGGAGTTATTGGTGGACGTACAGAGGACTTAGGCACCTGATATCAAAGTGTAAAGGGCGATGCTAGAGATCTCCATTGAGAGAGCAATCCTACTGAAAACAAGGTTGGCCTACACTATTGCAAGCTATGGTGCTGTATCTTTGTCTTTTGCTTCCATGGTAGAAGACAAGGAGTTGGCTTCTTAATGCTTACCTCTTGGGAAAGGGTCTTAATAGACTTCACACAATTGACAGCTTCCTTGGTATTCTGTTTTATCCCAACAGATAAAGTAGGATTCACACATATTTTGCAAATTAATGTATTTTATTAGTTTTGGTTCAGCATTCTAGGCAGGCAGGTAGGTTTGTAATATTGATAACATGATCTATATATGCTATTTATTACTTGTTTTAATAAGCAGCTGGCCACATTTCGAAAGCAAGCATAGAATTGAAGACACACAACATTTTTATTTTCTAAGCATGTTTCTGGATCTGTGTAGGACCTAGAACCATAAACCTGGTTATTTTCATTTTTTAATTTAAATGTCTAAAATATACTAAGTTGGGTGAGACCAGATAGTCAAAGGATGCAGTTCTCAGGAGTTTCATGTTATCTTAAGAACTGTAAACATTGGGTAGGCGAATTGGGTCTTTTCCCTCCCTCCTGTCCTGTTTTCCTTTTATTTCATGCCTTTTAGACTGTAATCCTAAAATTACAGACTCTCTTATTTTGTTGCTAATCTGTAAACTGTTCTAGGAGACTTTCTGGCTGAAAAATGGAGTGAAAAGGTTTTAAATAAATGGATGAGATTATTTAGATAGCAAATCTGAAGAGTTTGGGGCTCTGATTTGGAAAATCAGCAAGTGTGAGATGGGGAGTTTTTCTTCTTTTACTCCATCACTTAACCCTAGAAACTTCAAACTGTAAAGTGGACAAGTCACAAACATAAGAGTAATGGGTAGTATTTCTTACACAGCATTCCATGTCCCAACATAGAGCAGGCCATTAATTTAGATCTTTTGAAGAAGATATCACAAATTTGTAAGTAGACTCTATGGCCAGTAGGTGAATGAAATGCTGTGGAGAGTAATAATACAGTTTTTAGATTTATACATTTGAGATGTTAACGGACTGCAATTCCTGTGCTTCTTGACCATGTTAGTTAAGGCATATCAGAGCTGAAGGCTAACAACACTAGGAGGTCCATAAAATCCCCATCTCAATAGCAGCCCTTCAAATAAGAGTATAAATAAGAGATAAATAAGATAATACTCTCCTTTATGAGCTCTTCTTAGAAAGATTTTGGTGAGCATCTCACTAAGTTTGGAAATGAACATGTGCTTCATCAACAAGACTCATTCTTATACTCTTGTTCTATTGTGTTAGCATTGCTTTTTGAGGGTGAATGTTTACCTTAAGTTCCTGTCTTAGAGTATCTTTTAGTCATTCTGGATTACATGTTAAAGCATGCTGAGAGATTCCTTCTCTATGGCAGAATGTATTTCAATCAACATCTTTAAAAGCACCAGTTAGTATAACTTAACAGATTTTCTTAAAGAACTCATGGGTAAATTTCTAATTTTTATAACAAGTGTCTAAACAACCATACATTAAGTGCATATAGCAAGTAAGAATAATAAGTAATCAGTGGTAATCTTTCAGCCAAACATGAGAATGGGTAGCATGTGTGTAAATGTATTTTAAATTTTAAAACATTTACTTTATACATACATACATACATATATACATACATACATACATACATACATACATACATACATACCAGAGGTGAGTTTCAGCAGGTTCTGACCAGTTCTGGAGAACCGGTAGCGGAAATTTTGAGTAGTTCGGAGAGCTGGTAGTAAAAATTTTAACTGGCCCCACCTGCATCTATTCTCTGCCTCCCAAGTCCCAGTTGATCAGGAGGAAATGGGGATTTTGCAGTAACCTTCCCGTGGATTGGGGAGGGAATGGAGATTTTATTGGATTCCCCTGGATTGGGGAGGGAATGGCAAGAGAAGGGAGTATCCTTCCCTTGCCATGCCCACCAAGCCACACCCACCAAGCCATGCCATGCCCACCAAGCCACACCCACAGAACCGGTAGTAAAAATTTTTGAAACCAACCACTGATGCATACATACATACATAATTTTAAATTTTGGTATTGGCAGCTTAATCTGTATTAAAAGAATTGACAAATGAAACAATCTACAGTTAAAAAGAAGTATAAACAAAAGGCAGGTTTTGAACATTTTTATTTGAAATATTTATACATTGCTTCACATTAGCTTATAAACTTAGCAATACATATTCAAAAGGTAAGGTATTTAAAGGGCAACAACTAAAATATGTAACACAAACACAGATCGGTAGAAGATTCTCTACTTCTCTCTTGGACCAGGACAAATTTCATGTGCCTCTGAGAAAGCAGCATGCAGCCCTGGGGTTGCCCTACCAAAACTACTCTTCCATCAGCAAGGAGAACTGCAGCCAAGCCTGAAAAGTAAATCTTAATAAGCAGGTAGATTTATGAATATCGGAGCCAGGTTGGTGCAGTGGTTAAGACCACCAGGCTAGAAATCCAAAAGCCATGATTTCTAATCCTGCCTTAGGCCCAAAGCCAGCTGGATGTCTTGGGCCAGCCACTCTCTCCTAACCCTAGGAAGGGGACAATGGCAAATCGCTTCTGAAATCTTGCCAAGAAAATTGCAGGGACTCATTCAGGCAATCACCAGGAGTCAACACTGATTCAAACCATCTAACACCTATAAGGAACTGAACTGAAAACCACTAAAATTTTCTACTGATGATACTACCTTAAGAAGCATGGGGAATGAAAAGAAGAGACAGCTTGCCAACAGAGGCAAGATCATTATATTCACAGCTTAACCTTGTTCCATGGTGCAGCCATGGTGGGGTGAGTACTGAGGAAGCTGCTTTCTTGGAAGGATAATCACCATTTGCTTTTCTTAGCACTGACCTGCTTGATCCTCCTATTCATACAATAATGCTGGACTTCTGGGTGTTCATTTTTCCCTTAAATCTCCAATCTCTTCTTACTAACTAGTGGGTAAGCAGCTGAACTCTTTCTATTTTATTCTCATGGATTTCCTATTCTCTGGGAAATGAAGATAATGGATGCAGCTGTTTAGGTTTTTGTGCTTACAGCAGTGCATCTATTTTGTGAGAAGTTTTTACAAAGAGTGCAGCAACTGCAACAGTATTTGGCGGGACTTGTATATCTCAGTCCAATCTTAATGAACCACTGCACTTACCTAGTGTTGGTGGTGAATCAGTCACAGACTCCTGCCATGTGAATCTGTAGTCAACAAGCTATCTATTTGGTTAACATCGTGATGTGTGAAAACTCCATCTGCCTAAAATAAACCCACATTGTGGGTTTTGTTTGTTTTTGGCTTTATTTTCAGGCCTCTTCCAGAAGGGCAGAACTACACTGGAACATTGTTGCATTATGTTAAACTAGGCTAAATGAATCTCGTATTATCTCATTAACCATCCCAGCTCACAGAATGAACCAGTGGTTGTGAGCTTGCATGTTCACTGCCTAATTTTATGCCTGGGTAAGTATGGCAGGAAAACTGCCATTTTATCTCATTATGTTTAGTTTATTACGTTGTATTAGCTTACTCAAAACTTTATCAAGTGCTCCTAAGTAAATGCACTATCCCAGTATAGGAGGAATGGCAGAACCTGGGGGCAGAGTTAAAGGAGGGATCAGCCTAGAATCCTTATGTAGCCACAAGCAAACTAAGTTCAACTTCCCTTGAATCCTATTGACCCTTATCTAGCCTGTTAGTTGACAAGATTCCTGTTCATAGGCATTATTAGCAAAAAATCAGTTTAATTGGACCTTCATATGTGGACCTGATCCTTCGCACCTCACATCCAGTCTGTATGAAACCAAGCCATTACAAGACAAAATAAGAAGGCCTGGTAGGCACAATTAAAAGGCAGGAATCTCAGAGTGAATTCAGGATCATCCATGATTGTGACAAATTTTAGCGTGTGCAAACTTTGAAGCAGGTTCTATAAGTGAAGACATTTATCTCACATGTTGTGAGCAGGATAATATTAGGTTCAGAACTCTACTTCCATTGATTTTCCTAAGTCATGATTCTAAAGTAGTTTTTCTCAACTATAGCAACTTTAAGATATGTGGACTTCAGCTCCCAGAATTCCCCAGCCAGCCATGGGGCTTGAAGTCCACAAATCTTAAAGATGCTAAGGTTGAGAAACACTGTTCTAAACAGAGCTTTTTTGCAACGTTGACCAAATTCAAGTCTGTGCTTAAAATTTTTCCCTCCCCTCACATTAGCTGAGTTTCATCCTGCAAGGGTGGTTTGACTCATGTCTTCGCGTTTTTATTATTTATTTTATTTCCTGAAGTGCTGGAATTAAAACCCACTTGAAATCATTTCAATTACAGGAGCATCGTGGTAAAAATGGCTTGATTTCTGTAAAACAAAAAGGAAAATCAAGCACATCACTTTCTGCACAACAGAGATATTTCATCAGATTAGTTGAGGCTTGCCTGCTTTATATTGCTCAGGCTATAGAAAGGGGAGGATTTAAATAATGCATAAACAGAATTTGGAGTACCTGAAATGGCTTTAAGGCAGCGGTGGGTTTCAGCAGGTTCTGACCAGTTCTGGAGAACCGGTAGTGGAAATTTTGAGTTCAGAGAACCGGTAGTAAAAATTCTGACTGGCCCCGTCCCCATCTATTCTCTGTCTCCCAAGTCCCAGCTGATGGGGATTTTGCAGTAACCTTCCCTGGATTGGGGAGGGAATGGAGATTTTACAGTATCCTTCCCCTGGAGTGGGGTGGGAATGAAAATTTTACAGTATCCTTCCCCTGCCACGCCCACCAAGCCATGCCACGCCCACCAAGCCACACCCACAGAACCGGTAGTAAAAAAAATTGAAACCCGCCACTGCTTTAAGGTAAGGTGCATATTGCTCCTTCTCACACAGTTGCAGTGGAGATGAGGCAAGACATATTAAGGACCTCTATGTCTGAGGAATTTGTCTCATAAATATACAGTTCTCCAACATGAGAATCCAAATACAACCCTGGTCATACTGATGGGTGCATGCCAATCTGGATCAGGCCACTGATCCAGATTGAATGAATGGGAGAAGGTTGCATTTTCCTCCATCCCTTATTCTTATTTCATCACCAGGAATCTCGTTTAATGGGAAGGAGACATTTTATGGGGGATGAAAAATGAAAGAATCACAACCTTCATCCTGCTTTTACCTCCATGTCTAGAGGTTAAATAGAAGAGATAATTCCAGGGGTGAAATCTAGCAGGTTCTGACAGGTTCTGGAGAACCGGTAATGGAAATTTTGAGCAGTTCAGAGAACCGGTAGCCGAAATTTTGAGTAGTTTGGAGAACTGGCAAATACCACCGCTGTCTGGCTCCAGATTGGGGTGGGAATGGAGATTTTGCAATATCCTTCCCTGAGAGTGGGGAGGGAATGGAGATTTTGCAGTATCCTTCCCCTGCCACGCCCACCAAGCCATGCCCACCAAGCCACACCCACAGAACTGGTAGTAAAAAAAATCGGATTTCACCACTGGATAATTCCTCTCTGTCTGGGTTTGGATGCCCCCTAATCAGTGGTGGGTTGCCTCCGTTATGGCCCATTTCGGCTGAGCCGGTAGCGGTGACGATGTGACGTCACCGAACCTGTTCTCTTTGTTTGGGAGCTGGGCCCCCACATTATTCTTACCTTTATTTCTTCTTTTTTAGCCCAGCTGATAGGCGCAGCAGAGTCGATTGCTGTACCTCAGCTGGGCAGAAATCTAACGCGCTTGCGCACAGCGCAAATTTGGCACGCATCCGTGTGCACGAAGAGAACCAGTGGTAACGCTAGTTGGAACCCACCACTGTCCCTAATGCCATGCAAACATGGATAAAAATTGTGATTAAGATACTCTACCTAATCATGCAACTGAGATATCATGCAAGCCAGATCTGAGTAACTCGGCCTGATGCCCCAAACTGTCTAAGCAAATCTGTTGAACTTGAAGCAAATTTCTCCAATATCATTGCTGAGAGTAGAAATACAGGACCGCTTTTCTTAGCTGTGACATTTAAACCACAGGTAACAACAGTGATGAAAGGGTAACTTTATGATCAGTCCTCACATTTATGACTTTCACAAGTCTGTAAAGCAAAGGAAAGTAAGATCATAGGCAAAGTTATGGTTTCAATTAGCAAAAATGGCTACTTTGCTTAATCACTGATTTGATGCCAATTGTGGTCACTACATGAAAACTATGTATGTTTTTACTGATTTCACACTGATGGAACATTTTTTAAAAGAATTTAAAACATTCCATAAAGGTGAAAGATTACAACACTTTTGGTTTTGTGTCATCTTTAAGCCCTAAATAATGCTGGTCTTCCATCTCAAGCTCCAATAATATCTGAGCTTGTTCAGAAGCAGTGAAGGAAGAAATTGAGAACTTCTATAGCAATTTGCAAAGGGTGCTAAATTCAACATTAAGAAAGGAGTGGTCCTCTTACGGATAACAGGATGCAAAAGTTGGAGAAAAAAAAAATTGGAATCATAGAATGATTTGGATAGGTCAATGCAACAAAGCAGGAAACCAATAAGGTTTTCTGAAGAAAAGTGTCAAAAAACATAAACATTCTTCAAATGGTTTGTATAAAATGCAGCCTCAGAAAGCATTTTAGAAGAATATATTAAAGCTTTCTCAATTTTCCAGGCACTCTAGCAATGCAAAGCAAATAATTGCTCTGATAGCTTTTTTCAATGCAATTAAAATGTGAAGCCAAGTTTCAAGTGGATCTGGAGAGGCCATATTAAATGCATCAGTGGTTCATTTCACTTCTAAAACATACTTTTAAAACTACAGGATGTATTTTCATCTCAAAATAGCTGAATCCAGGCCCGGATTTAGGCTGCAATTTTACACACAATTGGAAGTTTCTCTGTACTGAATTCCTAGGAGCTTCATTCCAAGTGGTCATGCATGCCATTCATTCAATGAAATATCCCATTTGTCAATGGCTTGCAGGAGTAATTATTATTAAGAAAACCTGGAGGTGGGAATAGAACCTCCTTAGGCTTTTAAAAAAACTGGGTGCCCTTTAAAACTATTTTCCATCACTACAAAATTTTCCAAGGAACATGGTTTTGGTTTTTATTCTCTTATTGTCTCAAGGTGTTTTGACATGCTCTGCATCATGGCAAATTGTATGGATAAGTATTTAATTTTAACTGGAAGTAGACTGTTGCAATATTTATTAGGACTACAGTAATCTATAAGAATAATAGGTAAATGAACAAGGTAAGATAAGGGCATTTTTGTGCAAAATGTGAAGGTGCTGAACATCCGAACTATTAGAAATATACTTTAAGAATGTATAAAGAACAAGGGCTGCAATGTGCTCTTTCATGCTGACAGGATTGCTTGAACCAACTCAGTAGTTAACTAACCAGTTCTAGGGGGGAAGTAAACTTCTCCAGAAGGCAAGCTGAGGACACCTCTATAGAAGAAGATCAAGATTCATTTGTTCAGCTTTTTAATATCTATTGACCTGTCACTGTTACACAAAGCCTTGGTTTTGTTGACCACAATTTGTTGACTAAGCTATAATTGGCTGTTTGAGCCCATCAGGCTAAGCTATGAATCCTCTTTTTAAACCACAATGGTTAGTTTTGCACAACACACAAAACCAAGTATATTACATTGCATCTTAGCATGATGTGTGTGACCCTAAAGTGGTGTTTTTTTGTCTATTTTAACTACTATCTAAAGGTACATCTCATTTCTATCTTTATGCATGATTAAAATGTATTTATTTTCATTTTGCTAAATTTATATCCCATCTTTTCCCAAGATCTTAAGGTAGCATACATAGCAGAACGTCCTCCTCTATTTTTTTCCCATAACAATAATCCTGGGCACTGAATAATTTTCTGACTCCAAGTCACTTCCATAGTTGAAACTGAACCTGGATCTCGCTGTCCTAGTTCAACAGTCTGCAGTAATTATTACACCACGGGTGTCAAACTCACGGCGTTACGTTGCCGTCATGTGATGTTTTGTGATGTTTTTTCCCTTTGCGGAATTGGGGTGGGCGTGGCCTACACATGATGCATCTGGCCCACGGGCCTCCAGTTTGACACCCCTGTATTACACTATATCGATTCAATAATCAGTTAAAAATCTGATCCCAACTAGTGCTGCAACATCTGGATTCAAATTTCAGATATTGTATGTTTAATATTTAAATTTGAGAAAATCATAGTAAAGAAATATGTAATATATTAAATACTGACAAGATCTTTCAAATATCATTGTAGAGAGTAATCTGATATAGCAGCTAAAGGGCTAGATTACACACTTGGGTTAAATCTCCATGCAGATATTGCTCTCACTATGGATTAGATCAGTGTTTTTTAAATTTGACAATTTAAAATCTATGTGGACTGGCTGGGGAATTCGGGAGTTGAAGTCCACATATCTTAAAGCTGCCAAGTTTGAAAAACACTGGACTAGGTGGATGATATAACAGCATACTTTACAGGAATATTGTAAAAATAAAATAAGAAAGAATCTATCTGCTCTAGTGTCTTTGGAAGATTATAATTTTCATAAACTGCTTACAGAATAGACATTTCAAGCAAATATTTTCTTTACAATGCTGCATTAGAAACATTTTCTTGAGGTTAGGGTTAGAAGTATACAGCTTACTTTACAGGAATATTGTAAAAATAAAATATTGTACAATTGAATATTGTAAAAATAAAATAAGAAAGAATCTATCTGCTCTAGTGTCTTTGGAAGATTATAATTTTCATAAACTGCTTACAGAATGGACATTTCAAGCAAATATTTTCTTTACAATGCTGCATTAGAAACATTTTCTTGAGGTTAGGGTTAGAAGTATACAGCTTCCATACAAAACTGCATTTGATCACAGATCCATGAGAGAAGGTAGAAAGAAAAGTGTCAAAGAAATCTGGAGCATGTTACAACTGGTGTCTTTCAAATATACCGGGCTACAATTCCCACTATCCCCACTCTACCATGGATGATGGATATTGCAGCCAAATACATTTGGAGAGCATTCATCTGGAGAAGGCTTGTATTGTACATTAAAATGCTCCAAGACACGACTATTCGTTCCATTCATTTACTAACCAAACAGTTGTACTTCTTACCAAACCAGTAGGAAAACAGAAAGGGGAGAGAAACAAGAGCCTTGTTCTTCCCTCCATCTCTTTTCCTTATCTCCTCTGCCACTATTTATTTTGTTTCTTTGCTGTGCAAATAACCAACTACCTTCCAGAGGGGCTCAACCCAGCCCTTTTATGCCCTGCAGTCATGACAATGTCTTTTAAAGGGAAAATTGATTCTTTGGAATGCTGTGCGAGCACATACTTATCATAGCCCTACAGCCCACACCTGTTGAACAGGTAAACCAGATCCTCGGCAATGGGCCTCAGCTACGACATTCCAGCTTGGCAAGCTATTACTCTCTAATTGCTACCTGTCAAGCAGGTAACTTAAGCTTTTGAACCAAACCCAAACAAGCGCATGTTCCCACGAAATCCTAAACTTCTTGACCTTTGACCCCAGCACAGGGTTACAAATAATTTTAAGCAGGGATGGTTTGGAATATATGAAGGCACTCTCAAATGGTCACCAAACTCAACCCAATCCAGCCAACGGTCATATTTAAAGGGGGTTCAAATAGTTTAAATGCACCTTAATGTACCTTCAATGCAAACTTGAAATGCTTCATCTGTGTACATCAGAGGTCTTCAAACTTGGCAGCTTTAAGAGTTGTGGATTTTAACTCCCAGAATTCTCCAGCCAGCTGAATTCTGGGAGTTGAAGTCCACAACTCTTAAAGCTGCCAAGTTTGAAGACCTCTGGTGTAGATGAAGGTGACTTGTTGATATTTCTAGCCACTAAAACCAGTGTTTCTCAAATGTTGGCAACTTTAAACTATATGGGCTTCAACTTGTAGAATTCCCCAGCCAGCATTGGGAATGCTCTGGATGTTGAAGTTCGCACAGCTTAATGTTGCCAAGGTTGAGAAACACTGGTGTAGCAGCTGGAAATATCAACAAGTTACCTTCTGCTTGACTCCCGGCTGCTGGTCTGAAATCTGTCAAGTTTCCCATGGGGGAACCAGTTCCCAGAGCAGTATTTGGGAAAGGTGGAACAGGCACTTCTTGTTCTTTTCTTCCTTCCAGTTCAGGCTTGTCGAGCACAAAGCAGCAAGGCACAGTCAGCACTTGTTCCAAATAAATGCATCTCCAAACAGGCTTATGCAATACCTACGGTATTGGGCAACTAATTTTCTCTTCCTTTTACACCATAAAAATGAATCTCAGAAAACTGCATATACTCCGGTTGTGCCATTTCGTAATTAGGGGAACATAAGTTTTGTAGATAAATCCAGGTGTTTAGAATATGTCAGAAAGGGGCAGACATTCAAAGGAAGAAGCTCCCCTAATACTAGCCAGAGATAATGGTTCATGTTTAATTATTTGGTGGTTCAATTAAATAAAGTTCATGCTTATTTTCTTAGGAAGTGAATGCCAAGAGTAACAGGTGGTTATTCATTTTGACTTCTCATTTGTGTCTTTATTAGCATGTGGGAGAATTTACCTTTTTTCAGCTTAAGGATAGATGGCTAAACTGTTAGTAGGAATGCTCACTCACATGTTTATTACTCAAAATAAATATTGCACCAAACAGAACCAAATCCAATCAGATACTGCATTTGCAAGCACATACAGTACATCAAATATGACCTATCCTATCTTCAATTAATTCAGGGTCCACATCTTCCTTCCTCAAATGTCTGTTTGATAAAACTATAAATATCATTTAAAAACACATATAGGCTGAACCACACAATAACTTACAATCTGATGATAAAAGTAGAACTTTGCCCTTTCTTAGGTGCTTTTTTACCCAGTGCAAAATTAATAATCAGATAGAGGGCAATGAATGCTAGTATAATTGTATCTGCTGCAGTATCTACTATAACTTTTTTATTTTAGAGATTTAATTTTAAATTAAGAGCACTTTTTGAATACCTTTGCTAACACAGCAATATCCAGCAGAGATGAAATTACAAGCAAGCAAGTGTCTCGACTTCTAATGGTAGACAAGATTATATCTATTTTTTCTGTCATCCATGATTGCTTATGCTGGTACTTGTGAGAAATTTATTTTAGTTGTATACCAGAATTATATTTATCCAATCAATCTATGGGTAGTACAGATAATCAGATTATACAGCCTTCATCTAATCACAAAGTCAGCTAGATTACTAACATTTATGTAAGATCATTTTGATATCAGTTTACAGAAGAATATGAAAGTTTAGATAATGTTATATGAACAGAGTTGTTTATCAAACTTTTCATTTCTGATTATGTCAGTGAAATCCCAGAACCAGGTCCAACTTAAAAGGGACATGTGAAGATTATCAATCTATGCTGGGTCTCAGTGGCTAATGCCAATGATAAGGTTTATCAGCCCCTATAAGTTCACGCATTGAAACCTGCTTATGTTCCTGATACACTGTGCACATGCAGGTGTGAAATGTGACAACGACTAGGAGGGACAAGTCTGCAGATTTTTATTTTTATTTATTTTTTTGCAACACCATTAGTGTTGCAGAATTCTGGGAGTTGGAAGTCCACAAGTCTTAATGTTGCCAAGGTTGGAGACCCCTGATTTAAATGATGCTTCAAACTTATTTTGCATACTTCTGCTCTAGTATTGACAAGTCATCCAAATATATGCACAGTGATGCAATGCTATTAATTTTAGTGGATTGTGTTTTCTATTTAGAACCTGTTTATTCCTAAAGCATAAAATAATATGCATGCGCATGTGTGTGTGTATGCCTGCATTTAGTGTGCAGGAGAAGAAATAACCATGTGCTAGCAATAAGTATTTCTATTACTGCTTTGAGCTCCCCATGGTTTCAAAACTGTGAAATGACTGTAAGCTTTTAGCACCATGTTTAATTGTAGAGCTGATTGTTTTATGTGTTGGGTACTTTGAATATTTACACAATAATTTTCTGCTGCCAAACGCATATGTTTAATTGTTAACAACTATTTTATTTAATTTATTATTTAATGTTTAATCACATGGGTGTCTCCAATATGCTAAGCTTTATTTAGGTGGAGCCTGGGAGAGGTTCAGTCAATTGTTAGCTCCTAATTAGTGATTAATCCTGGAGAGAAATATTCCCACACATTATCAAAATGTCATTTGGTAACTTTTCCAATTTAGCAACCTAACATCAAAAGAACTGAACGGTATGGATTTTCTTACGCAGTTTTCTGACCAGTGTGGATTAATCAATTATAGCAATCAATTTGGCTATATATTCAAATCAATTGTGTGGAAGTTTGTTGACACAAGATAAAACCACCATAATTACAGGAAGAAGTTGAAACACTTGTTTTCAACTGTGTCGAAAATTTGAGAATCTTAAACGGTGTTAATAAATTGCAATTTCCTATAAAAACAGTTAAGGAAGTCTGGAATACCCTTTCTCTACCAAATGGATTCAAATTGTTTGGTGGGAATTTGAGGAATTGCTGTTGTAACATATCTATGGAGGACACCTACTTGAAAAGGATGGTGCCCAGCAAAATTTCCTTTTGGGTAAGGTAGTCCTAGCCAAACTTAACTGTACTGTACAGAAGTCCATTTCTCAGGCTGACTTCTGGGATTTTATTGATACAAAGCCAACTAAAATGGATAAAGAGAGAAAGTATCAATTCATTCAGTCTTCAAAAGAACTGGATGGTAGATCTCAGCTTCTTTTTTTGACTGAGTATCTTACTTTGCTACATCTTATTCAAAAGATGTTAGAGATAATATAAATCTACTTTGATTTTCATAATTTGTAGAGCTGAGTAACTAGAGCTTTATCCTGATATTAAATCGATTTTCTTTTGAATAAAATAAGTTCATAATGTGTGCATTCTTCCACAAAGGGCAACAGGAAAATAAAGGAAGAAAAATCCAGCGTCATTGGGTGGGGCCCAGCATTAATGTTATGTAAACAGTGAGATGGTTCATACAAAGAAATTCCAAGAAGAGCTTGATCCAGCTACAGTCTATACTAGAAACAAACATGCAAACTTCTTCCTCTATAGATACCATGTAGACATAGAGTGCTCTTAAGGTGCAATAGAAAATACTGCAACATTTGCCTCAGTTAATGATAACATTTTGCTAAGAATCTAGGAATACAAACCGTTCAGTTTAGCCCACACAACCAGCATTATGCAGTCCACTTATCCTGATTAGCAAGGTTCCTATGTTCCTATTCTGTGGTCTAATCTACATCATCTGTCCCCACCGAGCTTCATTTCCCATTTTAAAACCATCCAACCAGCTTATCTTTCCACATGGCTGAAACAATATTAAAGGGGGGAGGGCAGAAGTACTTTGACTTTTGAACCAATCAGTATCAGGCTGCTGCAAACTGTAGAGAAAAAGCAATTTCTGAGAAAATTACAATTAAGCATTTTCAGTGTTATCTTTAGTGGGTCTGAGAATCTTCCTTTAATCTTCTTTATGTGGAAATTTTCTAGTTTTTCCCCATCAGAAGTGATTTTTCTAAGAAAAGGCAAATTAGCATCTACATAGTTCAGGTGGCCTACTTGAATCTTTTGTGAATTCAAAACTGAAATGAAACTACAGATAAACCCTTTTTTAAAACATATGTATATATCTGTGCTTCCAATATCAAAATCTCTTTTAATAATAAAAGAGATAATAATAAAACCAACAAAAAGATGAATGTAAGATTTATGGTCTTAACGATTAAACAGAATATTATTATAGATAGAAGACTGTTATGTAACTTTAGAGAAAGAGGTAAATTTATAATTGTAGTTATAGTTGCTATAAAGAAAATTGGAAGGTCCTACTTTGTATCTTTTGCCCTCTTTTCAATTTGTTTGCCTGCTTGCTTTCTTGCACCTTTAGCTTTCTTTTGATTTCTTTTTCTGTTTTCTTCCTTATACTACTTTGCATTGGTTATTATCTTTATTTTTAAAGATAATTTAAAGATTTAAAATTTTATTTTAATAAAATTGTTTTAAAAAATGAATATGAGGTGGAAATCCATGTTCTCTTAGCTGTCAAGAAAGGAAGGTTAAAAATAACAGAAAATATACAAACCATTGATGATACCCTAGACATAATGCAATCAATACTTGCTATCGTTTAGTTACCACATAATAGACTAAAATAATTTTCATCTCTAAAAGCTTTTATTCCAGAAATAGGATTGAACGTGTATCTGTCAGCATACCCTTTCCCTGACCAGACAAAATAATGTTAAAGCCAAGTTTTAAAGAGGTATATCATGCATCATATTAGAAGAATTTGGCTGCATCAGTAAGCATATTGCTTTTGCCATCTAGCTTGCAGAAATATAGATGCAAAGGTAGGTGAATATTACCCATAAAATTTGCAGTGGTTTCTTATGATCATAGAGACATAGTCAGATTGTTAAAATCAACATCCTCTACAACTTTTCTCATTCATGCACAGCAACATGAGAAGGAATTAAATAAATGAAAATATTTCTCTGAATGCTGCAAAAAAAAAAAGGGGGGGGAGCAGACATACAATATTTAACTACATCTATAAGAATAGATGCTTCACTGCCACTATAAAAATGTGCAATTTTTTTTTACTTTGAAATATAAGCTAAGTGACAAGATACCAGTAGATGGTATTTTGAGCTCATAGCATTGGTTTTACTCTTATTAAGCCAACATCAATTTTCCATTTGACAACAAAGAAACAAATCTGCAAGGGCACACAGGGGACTTGTGGCTGACTAGAGTGCCATCACAAAATCATGCAACTGGTCACTGAAGCAGCATTCGGAGTTGTCTTCCTTCACAATCCCAGTGCTTGTGATTAAATTAGGAATATTTTCTGAGCGTAGAATATGTTTTCTTATTTCTGGCCCCATTCCAGCTTCAAAGCTACAAAGGCAGAAGTCCCATTACCTATTGTATTCACGTTTAGAACTACCCCAAATGATTTTCTTGGGCATTACAAATTAGTTTTTTGTAGTTCAATCAGCACCCGAAAACAATGGTCGTCATCATTCAAACTTCCGTGGCAGCGAATAATAGACACTAAATTGAAGGTAGGGGAAGAAACTGGCTGATGGAAGAGAGACAGATCAGAACATCTTTCCATTTATGCCCAACATGGAAATAAAGTGGGCTGCCAGAGGAGAGAAATACCATTCACTATACCCAAGAAATGGTATGGCTGCTACAAATGGAACACAGTTTATTGGTCTCCATTGCTGCCACCTAGTATCTCAATATGATTTTTGCAGGCTGCTAATTTTATGGATATATTTACCTGGCTGGAGCAAACAGAAAAACTTCATGGTTCACCCATTTAGCTGCGGATGAAGTTTGGGTAAGACAAATCTATTGCTCCCATTCATCTCTCTTAAATATGCAAGTTATTGTTTAACGAACCTAACAAAATGGATCTTTAGAATGACTGCAAGTTGCAACCACATCAAACTAGTTTAATTTCTTTATTAAATCAAGTGGGGCTTTTTTTTATGAACCATGTAAGAAAACTTATTAGTTAAAAGAAAAAGAAAAAAAAAGAAGTGAAGGTGCAGGGAAAATTGTGGCAAGTGTAAATAACTCTGCTTATTCTATTTACTTTCTGAACAGGAATAAGGAAGTAAGTTCTTCAGCACAGGTCACTGTTTATTTATAAAGTCATCTCAGGGCGAAAAAAAAATCATGCAGTAACTTGAAGCATGCAGTCCACAAATACACTGCACATTACTGAACACAATTCAGAGTAATCTCAATTACATTTTCCACAAAACATCAATAAAAGTAGTCTTTTTTCAAAATGAGCTTAATTCCAAAGTAACTTCATGGACATAGTCATGCAGTTTTCTTTGTAAAGCAATGGAAACAGCTTGCCATGGTCCACTTCAAGATGTTTCTGGACTTTCCAGGCTGGCCCACAAATTTGTTACTCCCTGGTTAGTCTCCCATCCAAGCAGGAACCCATGGTGCCTCAGACAAGGTCAGCCAGGTGCTGCTACCTGCTGAGAGTCAATGTCTCCAGGGATAGATAAGTTCCTTTATAATGAGATGCAAAACAGGACACAAGAAGTGTTTGTGAGATTTAACTAGTACTGTAAATAAAAAGCTCATTTACCTCTGTTACAAATTGACTAAGTACCATAATCTAATTCTGGGATGCTCAGTGAGGCAGTCTATGGTGCTGATATATTTTTAGATGCTATTCTCAGTGGCATCTATCCCAATCCTTTTTTCACATTGGGAAAAAAAAACTTTAAAAATTAAGAAGAGGGGCAGGCTGCAGATCTAAGTTCTGGCCTCCATCATTAATTTTATTCCCAGAAATGTTTTGTATCCCATTAGCTTTCTCAAAAAATGAAATAATAGGCAGCTTCAGCCTAAAACTTCGTTTAGAAACATGATATTTGCTCAGAAAAAAAGCAGGGAAAATAGAGAATGTCATACAGGAGAGAAAGTTAGAGATGATGCCAACTAGTGTTCTGATAAGTCTTTGCTGGTTATATTCCCCATGCAAATAATTATGTAAATCAACAAGTCCTTCTCAGTAGCCAAGATATTACACACAAAGCAATTCAAATATTCAACATGATTATTATTATTGAACTAATTAGGCTAAGTCTCATAACCTACTTTGAAAGTCAGTATATATTTTAGCTATATTTGAGCCAACTATTTGTTCAGTTCTGATTACTCTATCTAAGAGTCAAAAAAGTACTGTCTACAATTCAGACATCAGAGGACATGACACAAGGCAGCTGAAAATACCTACAGGGTTTTAGGTTGGGTAAATTAGGCTGTAGGCTGGCATTTGCTAGGATTAGCAAAAAATATTATTTAGGAAGGAGGGTGTGATAAGAGATTTAAAGAATTATATGGCTTACAGAAAATGCATACAGACATGACCCTTTTTATCTCATATGATAATAGAATTTCAGATCATCAAAGAAAATTGATTAGCAATAGAGCTGGTATAAATAAAAATACTCTACATAAGTAACGATCTACGTGATGACAACTGTCAGCATACAAAGCTAATACTAGTACTGAGAGGTTAAGTGAGCTCTTAATTCAGAGGCACTAATACTAATTTATTATACTTATGTTCCGTTTTTGTTGTAGAGCATGCATAGTTTCTTCCTCACTTTTATTCTTACATTAATCACCTTAGAAAGATTAATTCTGGAAAGCAAAAGGCTGGAGTATTTAATGTTTACTCATACTCAACATTTTTTTTATTTTCTCATGCTGATTCCATATTCTATACAGGCTAAGTCTCTAAAACTGGAGAAGATCAGCAAGCACCACATCTATACTGTCTTTGACATTATTTCCTTTTTCTAGGAAAAAGTTTCCAGTATTTCTAGCTATTTCTAATACTACTACCATATCCTTTTCTAACAGACTTATATCGTAAGATAAGTTTTATAGCAACTAAAGCATTCACTTTGGAAAAGAAACATGATCTTAAATGCTCAGTGAGCCATAAAGATTTACTCAGTAGGTTTAGGCAACTGATTATGTCTAATCTACAATAATAATGCCTGGTTTGCTTGAAAAAAGGACAGGATAGAAGTGGATGCCCCCTACCCCACTTCAGATAATCAGAAAATACATCATTGATGAAGGTGCTTGTATCTGAAAATGTTTGCAGATTATATATTGCTCTCTCATTTGTTTATATTGCAATTGTTGTTTTTATTATTTTTGTAATGTAAATTGGCCAGCCAAATTACAACTAACTTTTTTTGTTAATTTCAATGGAAGATTCATCATCACCAAAATTTATTACATAACCTAAAATTTCAGAAATATAGACAAAGCAATCATATGTATAAATTCAAAGTACAGATATCCAGCATGAAATATTTATTAGTGAGCAAAGAGAGATAGACTATTAGCCTATATTTTTACTAGCATACCTAATCCATCAATCTATTCTCTTTACAGAAAAGTGCAACATTTTTATTACATCAGGAGAAGGTATTTTTGTGTAGGGTTTACTTCATGGAATGTTATGAAAAAAATACTATTCTTGTACTGTACCTGGTCTTATAGCTATAATAAACAATGACTGGATACTATTCTCATAATTGCACGCACAAGGATTCATAAAAGCTTTGAAGTTTTTTTTTGAAGTGTTAACTGCTGCAATGAGCCTCAAGAATATGAACAAAGTATAACTAGTTTGGTTCAATTATGTTTGTTGAAACTATGGCTATATTAGAGTAGAATAATCAGTACTCACTTAAATATTTTAAGTATTTTCTTGACCTATAGGCTCAAAGAATAATCTGCACTTAAGGCATTCTGAACTGTCTGCACAGATAATTATGGTATTGAGAAGAGAATTAAATCTAATTCCAGACAGCCTCTACGTGTCAAATTAAGTAGTATTGCCTTTGGGAAGCACAGCGCTAATAACTGACCATATCAATCACTGATTTTTTTGTCTCCAGTTTCTGTCAACAGTTGCCTACAATAGGCAAAGTTAACAATTTACCACAACAGCATTGTTTAAAAGCTAACACACTGCAGTGTTAACTGCTGTTGCGCTTGCTTTGAGAAGTAATCCAGGATAACTCATGTTTGAACAGGTAAGACCGAGTGCCAGGGGATATGAAAGAACATTCATAAGGCATACTTTAGATGGTTAATCAGGACTCCATTTCCTACCTTCGTCAAACTCTGATAATGCAGCTCATCTGGAGAAAACTAGAGAAGGCTGATGTAACATTAATTTAATCGATTTTGGAAACCATGCCACTGTTCCTAATATAATATCATGATGAAAAACTAGTCATGATGGTAATAAAGTTTTTTTTTTTTACTGAATAAAGAATTGCAATGAATTGGGAACTATAATAAATTATTCCCATAATATTAACTGTATTTGGTTGGCCATATGGAGATGACGAAAAACAACTGAGTAACATTATCCCAGATACACCTGCTAGGAATTTCCTTCATGAACTCACTTCTGCATAAATATTGTTAGACTGAGACAGAAAGTCAGTAATAGATAAAATAATTCTCTAAGGTGCTGTGATAAAACATGAACATGGAGAGGAAAGGAGTTCTGCTGACCTACCAAGAGATTATTTCGGCACTCTCCAAACATCTTGGGTTGCAATTCCTGATACACCAAGTCAAACGTTGCTTTAGCCATGCATTCTAAATCACAGTAGGCTACACAGAAAAAGAATGACCACCATTAAAGTAAGGCAACTTAACCCATTACAATCAAGCTGCTATCTTCTGCTAGCTGAAAAAGTAAACTTTCCTTGACCTAAGTCACAACCCCCTTCAAAACAAATTATATAACAAGATGATTGCTAAGTTTTAAGATACATAAAGGATTAAGTATAAGTGCTACCTGTTGCAAAATTAGTAGCTGGCTTTTTGCATGGTGCTCTTTATTGGAATCTGCGCAGGAGCTTTCAATGACATACCAATAGAAAAGCACAAACATATGTAAGCCACCCTGTGTTAAAAGAACTGTTATTCAAACATCTGTTTTCTTATTAGCAGCATTGCTTTGATACAAATACAACCCATTAGCCTCTTCATCCCATAAATTTGTTTTACATGTTTCTAGAACACATAATTTTATGTACTTGTAATTATATTTTGTAGCCTTCATTAACTGTTGTTTGAATACCTGTTTTTCTGGCCCTATACAGCAAACCCAAACAATACTATTATTAAATGGAAAAAATCACACACCCATGCTAAATTGATATAGAAACAGTTGCCTTTTACCTTGGTTTTTTTTCACCTTAGAATTATAGCTGTTTGAGAAAGAAAGTAGCCAAAGTGAAAGTATAGAAACATTGAGTTTCAAATGTAATAAAGCATGAGAGCGGCTCTTTAGCAACTCCCACTCTATTTTTCCTGTTTATTCCATTCAAATTGTAATTAGGATTACACATTTAAGCATCACATTATTTTATTCAATTTTTTTGGACAAAGGATTAGATCTTGATTTCTCTTAACATTTGGTCTGTTAGTTTTAATTCACAATGGGCAGGTTCATTAATAAATATTACACTGGACATAACTTTTTTGGTGTACAATATGTTCCAAGATTCACAGTTTTTAAGCTAATATGTATCTTGTATTTCCGTAGTGTTTGAGAATTAGGGTATTAATCCCCAATTCAGGGCTATTATTCTGAATTTATGCTATTTGAAAAAAAATTAACGGGGAATTTGATTGCAAAAAAAGTTCTGTAAGTTAAGTTTTAATTTGATATACAAAAGCCATCTAAATTTAAGATTATATTGCCCAAAAGACTCTCATTCCCTATTTTTGGTCCAAGTATCTTATATACTTGTCTTTGCTATAGTTGTTGACAGATTTTTCCTCAAGAAAAATATTTTTGTTGCCCCTAATATTTTTTTTGAAAGCCATGAAACTAGTGATTATCATCCCATTGTGCAGCTATAAATTCCATTGTTACTTTCTTACTACCCCCATAAAAGCTAATAGGGCCACAAGAGATATTTAATAGTCCATTGAATGATAACTATCAGATGGTCATTTCTGTTACATCAAAAGAGATCATTCTCCTAAAATCTTTATCTGTTGAACTCTTCTTCCTCTCCACAGCTGAATGGGAAAGTTCTTTACATGGATATCACTTCCAGAGTGTTAAGAGGAATTGACTTCCAAATAAGCATAGATAAAATAGCAGACTGAATTGCTTATTTCCACGTCATTGATTGACAGGGCCTGTAGCAAACACTAGATAAGTCTTTCCTGGAAAATGGGGGAAATCTTGCATTTCACTGGTAGGCCACGTTATACTTACAGATTGTTCTCTGTGGAAATACCAGAGGATAGAAGACTAAACATGAAGGATCCATCCAGGGTTTAGGGACTGGATATTGTTTATTATTGTTCATTTCCACTCCTGAACTTACTTTTTAAAAAGCTCCTAAGCATTTTCTGAACATTATTATTTTTTTTTAAAAAAAAAGCAAAATAGCGTGTATTAATTCTAATTTATCACACACCTTGCAGGGATGAGGTCAGGCAGTAAGGCAAAAAGGCTATAAATACTGCAAACATTACAGCACCGGGTGTGAGAAAACACACAATTCATATTTATTCTTCTTACCCAAGGAAGCAGTTTGAAAGTTTTCAGTTGAAGCAAAGTGGGGTGTGTGGGTGGGGTGGGGAATAGAGGTGGGATGCGACTGACCTCCTTTTCTCTATCTAGCTCCATATCTAGCTTTAAAAAAAAAAAATAACCCTAATAAGCAAATCCGAACAAACTTGAGATCTGCAATAAAGAAATCGCCATAACTTAAGTCAGCCCCTTCATGGCCCTAGTCCAGGCCTGCAAATCCTGTCGCGGCAGTATAAAACCCACCGCACTTCGAAACACAAGGAATTTATGTAACATATTTTTTTTTTTAAAAAAACGTATTTTTTGGGGGGGGGGGGAGGCAGCTTAAGGTGGCCGTTTCTGTCCCCCAACCTCTTGTCGAGGTCCACACAGAGGGCGGGCAAGCGCCTGGCGTTCTGCCTCGGGGCTCCAGGCTGACTTCCCCGCCTTTTGGGCGCGAGGTTTAGAGGCGGGCGGCGGGCTGACTTCGGAACTCGGAAAGCAGCTGCAAAGCCAAAGGCGAGTTTGCCAGGGCCGCTCCCCAGCAACTCCTGTCCCAGCTCAAGTCCAGGCAACCCTGCGGCTCCCTCGCTCTGTCTGTCTGCCTTCTCCTCCTGCAGACCCCCCGTTTGCAGTCACACAGCGGCAATCTCCTCAGGCGGCCAGGGAGTTCGGTTTCCTCTGCCCAGCTTCACCTGCCCGGATACCTCCCCCCCCCAGTATCCCATTCCGCTTCTCTGTCTCTGTCTGCCCCCAATTCCCCGCCCTTCACCCCCACGCTCCCTTCAACCACTCCGGCTCTGCTTCCCAGAGGTGCGATCGCGCCGAGTTCTAAGCCAGGGCCTTTACCTGAGCGCGCCTCTTCCAATGGCTGCTCACCTGAAGGCCCGCTCCACCCAATCAGCTCGCGGCTCGTCCCTCTTGCCTGCTATCCTTGAGTGAAAGAATCCAGCTTCTCTTGGGAAAGTTACCTGTAGGCGCCTTCAGCTTTTGTTGCTTGGCTGCTCGGTGCCCTAAACCGCGGGCGGGGAGGGGGGAAGAGGGAGTGCAAAAGAAGAAAAAAAAAAAAAGGCCAGCCAGTCTTCTTCCCACATGCGAGGGGCGGGGAGAAGGGGGCTTTACCTGTCCCACTCCTACCTCTGCGGCTGGCTGAGGGAGAAGTAGAGGGGGGAAAGAAAAGCAGAATTACCAGTAGCTCTGGTTCTGCCGTCCCGGGAGCTCGCTCGCTCTCACACGCGAGCGCACACACACACACACACTCACACACCTTTACCTGCACAGACCTGAAAGTCCAGTTTCACCAGAGAGACTGAGGCATCTGGAAAAGGGGAGAGAGTTCATTGGATCAAACATGTCACAAGAGACGGACAAGTAAGTGATCACAGCCAGCTTGCTACTTTTGCTGCTCCTGAACGGATCAACTGGTTGGTTGTGTTTTCTTTCCCTTAAAGAAAAAAAAAAAACCCAAAACAAAACACGATCTCGGTGGTGGACGCACTGCGATTACATTTCCTCCTTTATACAAGGAATACAAGGGTTAAGTAGAACCCACAGGAGAGCTATTGAATTCCACTAACTTCCCCAATCTCTTTTTCACTCTTCCCCCCCTTTAAAAAAAAATTGGCTCTGGATTCTCTGTGTAACTTTCCCAAAGTTTGGGGAGAACTTTACTTCTGTGCTGTAGAACTGGAGGACCAATGCCTTCATGTCCTTCAGGGCCTAGATATGAAACGCGATTCTTGGCTTTTGTATGTGAAGGCAACAAAAGAGCTTTTATATTGGATCAGAAACGGCCATCTTCTTCCCGTTTTCTTGGAACTTCTGCATGTGTATTTTGGGACAGAAAGATGTAAAAGATGGATCTCAGGAATTCTTTATTTCAAACTGGGAGGGGGAATTAAGATGGCAAGAAGGGGGGCAGGGGTAAGGGGATGGATTAAAAACACCCTGATTCTAGAATCAGAAAATAAGCATAGGGAGCATGGAGGGGGCAGGAATATGGGGATCCCACCCCCCCTTCAGTAAGAGGAAGTGATTTTAGGAAAAAATATTATTTCGTTTTTCCACTACGTTGTATGTACATGTGGCATAAAATATTCCACTCCATGATAAAGAAAGTTATGAATTTCACTTCCTTAAACCCTCAAATAAGAGTAAAATCAAAATGCACTTTATTAAAAATCTAATTTTTTTTTGAAAAACTCTAGGTTGTACATTGAGATATCTTGAAATAAGCCATAAAGCCTACTGCTTAAGAATGTTCATAATAAACCAAATAACATTAGCATTTTTTAAAAAAGTTCTAATGTGCCAACGCTAAAGGTCATTATGATTCTGAGATTGTTGTGTGTATAGACATAACGCTGTATTCTATAGTGGCCTCCCTTGTATTCCTTTCCCCATTTTCAAATGTGTGCAAGGTGGAAGTTAGACAATCTTGTACAGACTTCATCTCCCCCTCCCAGCACCTCCCTATGGCTGCGTCTTCCTTATGGCAGTTGTTACTGGCTCCTTCTGAGCTTCCTGGTAGCTGCAGATCCTACCAATGCTAAAGGGAGAAGGCCAGAATCTTGCAGTGGGTTGGGTCTCAAGATCAGGAATAATAGATTGTATCTTGAACTTCCTTCTGAGCCTGTGTAGCACCTTGTTACCATGCACAAAAAGATAATCTCTAGCATTTTGGGACAAAACTTCTCTTGTGGAGTTTCTGTCCTGGGCTATTGACCTACAGGTGTGGAAAAGGGAAAGACAAAAGAAGAGGGAGGGAAGCAGAAATCAACAGGATTCAGTTTAGCAGGAAAAAGGACTTGACAAATTCTTAATGTGAGAAAGCTGGTTGGTGAAAAGGACTGACTCCCTTGAAAGTTGAGAGTGGAATACATAAAGTTCCATAGTTAGACAATGACTAATATAGCAGTGATGTATTGGTCTTCCCTCCCCCACCCCACTGTCTGTCCATTGGGAAGAAATTTACCTCAGTACATGGTCAGTACAAGAGGGCCAGATCATTCAAAATAAGGTTGCATTTCCATGGAGTCTTTTGGAACTTCTTTTAATACATAATAACTCTCAGTTGATTCAAGATTGTGTGCAAAGGACAATGATGGTTTTGATTTGATAAAACAAGATGAAAAGGTTTAATCTTTTACATCATCTCCTGGAACCTTTGGAAAGTGGATTTGTTCCCTATAGCACATTATTCATTATTAAAGTAGGTGTGCCCATTAAAGTCTGGTATGAAGGAGGACAATTGTTTAAACAACAGATTTTGATCAGTATCTGAGATGTTACGTATATGCCTGGGTTAGTCAAAATGTCTTGAAAAGCATAGGCTGTTCTAATCATTTGAGTAGAAGTGAAGAAACTGTGTGTTTTTCTTTTCTTTTTGTTTTTTAATGCGTTGTATTTCTGTGGCTAAAGTAGTCAACCAGATTTTGGTTTAATGCCGAGATTAATTTGTGTAACGTTCAGGCTACATTCCTATGAACATTTTACTTGATATCCTGAATTTGATGGACTTGTGTCCCAGTAAATGGGTTTAGGATTACTCTGCAAGACATATGTGATTGGTAAGGCGTTCTCATTTATTTCATGCGAGATTTTATACAAAGTTTTAAAAGTATTGCTGTTTTAATTTTTATTTACATAGTTGCATTAAAGTCATCTAGTACTTAAATTATTTGCATATGGAAATAAGGCAAATAATGTTCATTACAAAACTAATAAATTCACAATACCCTTTTTCTTTTGCACTTTATCCTTCAAAATTATTATATGGCTTCTACTAATTTTAAATAATTTTTGCACCAATGGCAACAATTTTTATTACTTTTTATCCAGAGGAAACTAGATTGAAAGACTTCTAATGAAACTTCATCTTTTATCCTCAGAAACAGTTGCACTGAATTTGTGGGAGATGGGAGAATTGGGAAATAAGGGTATAGACATTTCTAGATTTGAATCTACAATAGATCATAGAGACATTTGTCAAGAGACAGCTACTTTAATCCCATGTTGGATGCAGCAGTAACTTTTCTAATTTGATGTCTTGTTTCCATTTGAAAGGGTCTTCCAAATGTTTCTAGCTGTATATTTATTTTATTTGTGATATATCTTTTCTTTACTTGCTTAAAGTCATATGCACAGTTATTTCCATTTAGTTCTTATTCTTGCAACAACTCTTTGAGATTATATCTGACTCAAAGTCAGCCAATGATCTGGGATTTAGAATTTGGATCTTCCCTGTCCTAATGCAACCCTCTAATTATACAACAATACTTCATTTATCTGTGAAGCCTTGGAAAACAGGCAATTATCTGCAGTTCAAGAAGACTATATGTATTTTTTAAAAAACTATTTTTCTGAAAATAATGTAATTTTTATTTTGTGAAAAATAATTTTTCTCCTTGAAAAATTGTAGAAGTATTGCCCTTCAGGAAAGTTAAACACAACAGGCTATTAAAAATGAGGAGGATATAAAAACCACTTCATGCAATCCTCTCTGTGAATATGGAAGAGGTAGTTGAGTACATATTACTAAATTCACATACTACAGTGAGCCAATAAGTAATATGATCTTGAGTTAATGTGATGTATGAAGGGAGTGGAGGGTATGACTGTAAGACACAGTTTGAAACCAGGGTTTGTTATTTTCTTACTAACTGCTACTTTCTTTGGAAGATGTCAAAATAAAGATGGCTGGTTGGCTTGTGATGTTTTAGCTTAATCTTGATTTGTTTCTATGCCCATTTAGGTTTCCAATCAATGTACAGAAACGCAAGGCCAGACCAGTTAAGATTGAACCTATCATTGGCTAAACAAGCCATAATTATTTTGCTTATCTGTAGAGCTTCTAGCATATTCAGTAAGCAGTGGATAAAAATATTACAACTTGTTCTACTTTGAGCACCTTTGAAAAGTAACTAGAAACTTCAACTGGTGCAAAATTCAGCAACAAAGCATTGTCACATGGTGACAATGCTAGGATCATATTTTGTCTGAATTGGACAATCTGCATATCTTGCCAATTGTTTAGTGGACACAATTTAATGTGTTGATTTAAGTCTGCAATATCTTTTTAAGGCATAATTCTCTCATTATACACTTGTTCAGGCATTAAGATATGCAGGCAAGGTTCTCTTAAAAATGCCTTTGCATTCAGAATCCCGTTTATTGGACATTTGTGAGAAGGCTCCCTAACTGTGCAGTTCAATCTCTAGGAACTGGTGTTTGATTCCCAGTCTCTGTCTTTTGGAGATGAACTTAAGACTCACCATGGAAACTAGGCCTTTTTGTTTCCCTTAGACTGATTTCAATATTTATTTGTGTCATTTAATTATGTTCAAGGGTTTATGTACTCCTGATAGTCATTTTGAGATGGAAAGTTGAAAGAGAGAGAGAGAGAGAGAGAGAGAGGGGTAGAAACAATGAGCAAATGAGCTATAGCATAGCATAATTATTGTATTATATTTGTAGCTTGTTTTTGTTGTTAGATCACTCAATGAACTACTTACAGCAATAAAATATTAACATAATATCATAAAAATTGAATACTAGCATTAGCACTTAGATTTATATACCATTCCATAATGCACAGCACTCTGTGAGTGGTTTATAGAATCAGCATATTGCCCCCAGCAATGTGCATCCTCATTTTACTGACCTTGGAAAAATGGATGGAGCCAATCAGGATCAAACTCCTGGCAGTGAGCAGTCAGCTTCAATACTGCATTATAACCACCGCATCACTATAGCTCCTTAAACTACCATATAGAGCAGGGATTGGACACCTATGTCCTACAGGCTAGATGTGATCTGCCCCTTGAAATAATCTTGCCTGTGGTCATCCAAATAAATATATTTACCCAGCTTACAAGAGAGAGAGAGCACTAGCACCTCCTTGGTTGACCATCTTGGTTACAGCTTTACCAGATGCTTCGGCATGGCCAGAACAACAATTCCTTTGGAAATGATACTAGTGATACCATAGACTCTGGACCATACATAGAAGAAAGTTGTTAGCCCCTGATAATGCAGCAATTTAAAGTAGCACTAAACTAAAAAGGACTCTCTAAAGCAGTGTTTCTCAACCTTGGTAGCTTGAAGATGGGTGGACTTCAACTCCCAGAATCCCCCAGCCAGCAGCGCTGGCTGGGGGATTCTGGGAGTTGAAGTCCACCCATCTTCAAGCTTACCAAGGTTGAGAAACACTGCTCTAAAGAAAAAAAAATTGATGCCTTTTCCAAAAACAGAAAGTATGGAAGCTGAGTGTGATTCTTAAGAATGTTCTCAGTTTGAGAAAAATGTAAGAGAAGAACTTCTCCTTTGGGCCTAACATACAGACATCAAAAAGCATGGACATCTTTAGAAGG